AATTATTCAATCTAAATATATATAGCCTAGTGGCTAGTATATTTAGTAATAATAATCATTTAAAAATAACCAAATGATCCACGAAAATGAAAGCAGTTGGTGGTCAGATTTCACTTTCAACGATAAATTGTAACGCGACCCAGATCTTAAGTCTGATTCAAAGAGAAAACCAATTTGTACGAATAAATGTTAAAGGTTGAACTTTGAAATAGGAGCTGGAAGGTTGAATCCGGAATTGCTACCTGGGGAATCAGACATCAATCTGTTGTACTACATATTGCCGCAGGATTATGTTATACTTTATGGCCGACGCCACCAGCTGGCGGGGACCTCCAGTAAAAGAAACGTGGAAACAAAAGCGATAGTCTGACGACATAATTAGGGTTTATGGGGGCAAAGAACAGATCCAAATGGAAAGTTCAGTAGGAGGCCATTACCCAAAAGAGATCCATGCAGAACACGAAGTTAACGTAAATAACAAAACTAACACCCATTTGATATGTACATTTTAACAGTATGGAATTAAAGTTAGGGCTTTATTATTATTATTAATATTAAATATAGGTAGAGATCGTTTATATAAAAATACACATCCAAATTTAATTAATTTGGTATATATATACGTATAATCAATTCGAGAAAAAATTATCGAGAATATTTACGAAATTGCAAAAAAAAAAATCTAATATTGTTTTTGTTGTGCCTAGTCTGTACTTATAAGAAAACATTTGTTTGTGAGCGATATACCATTCAACAATGTATTATCCCTGAGTAACAAGCTATATTTATTACCAAACCATTAAAAATATGTCCGGACAGGGCTTCTAAGAGTTCAATAATAAGATATTTATTGCTTGAATAAAGAGATTTTATTAAAAATGTAAACAATTATTTGTTTGTACTGGGCGTGTTAATTGATCACGCATTGGTGTAAAACGCGAGACTCAAATTGCATTTATACCCAATAACCAGGGTCGGGAGGCACAAGGCTAACGACTTTTACAATTGTACTTTACAAAAAGAAATATCTACTACAAGGTTTTTAGTAGGGATATCCCTTTGGAACATACCTCCGCGTTTTTTCATTATTATTCTTAACAGGCTTTCAAATATAGATACAATATTTTTTTAAACCCTGGCGATTTAAAAGACGGAACAGTGGCCTGAGTTTGCAACTCTCATCCCTGTTCAATCTCCAGCTGTGCAACAATGGACTTTCTTTCTATCTGCGCATTTAACATTCGCTCGAACTATGAAGAAAAGCATCGTGAGGAAACCGGCTTACCCAATATTCCGTGTGGCTATTAGATTGACAAATGAAACAGATACAGAAATCTGAAGCCCAGACCTAAAATTTAAAGACGTTTATTCAAGTTCCTTTCGTCCGTTCTACGCCCATGATTTGAGCACTGGCAGTAAATGTAAATTTATAATCATTTTTTTTATTGACGTCCATAAGTATATAAAGTTACCTATATGTATGAATATTTTGTTTTTTTTATAATATTATTGGAACTATGCCGTGCGAATGTACAAAATTAGAGCAAAATTATTGTGTACTATCAATGTTTCAGTACAAATATAATATGTAATATGAATATTAAACTCATTTTTTTAATAATGACATTTTAAAGCGTACATAGTACATTACTTAGTACGTACATTAATAACCAATATGAATAAATCTTGAATTTCAATACATTTGTTCATGTAATTTTTTAAATGTTTGTAAATGTATTGTCTTAATGTAGTTACAGACTACAGGAGAAACAAAAATGAATAACTAATTATCATAAAACGAATGAATGCGTTTATACAACAAATATATAAGTACTTATTTAAATATATATGTTCATCCAAGCCATTTAATAAAATAAGTTTTATTTCAATAAGTGTAAGTACCCTTTTCAAACCGATAAATTAATGGTGTTACGAGTAATTAAACGTATTTATTGATTTTAAATAAAATACAGACCAACTTACGTAGTAAATTGAATTGTCCAATCCACACAGAATCAACACACACGACAAAATAGTTAAATCAATGTACACAACTCACCGCTGTGAGAGTCGTTTTACAACTGTCATAAGATCATAAGATCAAAGAGTAGAAGGAATACTAAACTACTGGCTTACATCACCCAAAAGACATTACTTTCTAGAATAAAAAAAGAAAATGAAAATGATTTTTTGAAAATGGAACTGGCGAGTGGGTTTGATTCGACCGGTTCCCGCCGATTGGCCACTGCGTTTTTCTAACTTTCTTCGACCTCAATGCGATGTTTTCTAATTTCAATGTCACGAGGGAAACAGGAAGCAACTATTGCTCCACTTGACAAATAGCTTTATAATTTTGATTAGTGTAGGACAATATCAAGTAATTAATCTTTAAAGCATGAATAATATCTTATGGTTCTATACTAAGTCGTACTGCTCGAAGTAAAAACACTTTTTATTTATTTCTTTATATACTCACTCCTTTTCTCGAAGAAGAGAGTCCTGACATACCTCGGTATGTCAGTCATCCAAATTCATGACATTCACACAACATACAAGCTCGTCGTTTCTGGGTACTTTTGACCTGTCCCTACTAGTACGTCCTGGATATGGTCCCTGTATGTACTATAAGGCCTACCCAGATTGGACCTCTAATAACTCTTTTACCGAAATTAAATGTGTTAAAAATACTTAGGTGTATTACTTTAAAACCATGAAACTGTCTAGATAAATACCAGTAAAACATCGCGACAATAATATTAAATTATGTTTTAATAATTTATTTATTTTCACATAATTGTAAATATTTTGTTATTGTTTGTGAGTAATGAAGGACCTACCCGCTTTCTAGCGCATCCATACCCATATTTACCAAAACTCATTCAAAACAGTCAAGCAGTTGTTTTGCAATATCGTAATTATTTTACGTATTTTACCTCGTAACAGTTTTGAGATGTCACCGTCCTCTTATTTCAAGGCCTTTTTACTAAGGTATTGTTACAAATAACTCTTTAATAAAAATATACCACATATGTCCAAAAAAATATTGAGTTTCTAGTCTCTTAATTTTCAGCTCCAGAAAAGATTTTACTATCGGTTATATGTTAGATAAGTTTCGTTTGAAGTCTCAGTGCCATTGAGGTAGTCTTTGGTACACATTGTATAAAACAAGTGAGTGGTCAGCTTTCTGTGCCTGCCAGCCCGTATTATTCGCCTTAAAATGTTAAAACAAACATAACAACTCGGGGTTACCACTTCTTTGTAACGCTAACTCACAAACTAACTCAATAAATGTGAAATAAAAAACAAAATATGATAAAATAATTTTATTTTAAATTATGTTATTACAAGATACATTAACCTACGTATTAACAAAATACAATATAAATAGATATAAAAGTAATTGCATCTATTATAATAGATTCAAAAGTTAACATTCACTTGTTGAAAATAATGTTTTTATAAGTACTTGCAATGCACGAACGCTGATATTCATATACTTCAAGTACTTACTTAGAAATTGCTTTTACCATAGGTGAGGGCTTTGTTTTATCTCAAATATCGATTTATTCTTTTTTGCTAAGAATTTATTCAGTTACATATATATATATTAGTAAATAATTAGAAGCGCTTCAAGCCAAAGTGAGCCCTTTAGTTTTTCCCACACTCATACATGTTAACATCCTCGTTGTCCAATAGCTCGACCACAGTTATATTCTTTATAGGTAATAGAATTAGTGTCAATTAGATTTAAGAACCCTTAAATAACTCAAGTTAGTTTTGTGTTAATCCAGCGTTAACCCCTAGTTATAAGCTCAATTTTTAAACCATAGCTTTAAAATTTGAGCTTATAACTCGAAGCTAGTTGACACCCAGCTTTAAACAAAGAGTTTCACATACATTTGAACATCCTACCAATAACCGCCACCGAACTCAACTCATGTTAAGCAAAAATTCATACATTCTTCCGTATCTATTATCACTCGATTAGTAAGTGTAAATCTAAGAACACGTTATTTTCAGCCTAAGTAAAGACTGCGAGAGAAATCAGTGTACCGTCTCTGTAACTGTCAAAATGTCACAACGACCAATTGGCAACCTAATATTATGCATATTTTACGTTAACTTTTCAAAACGGTGGTATGGCTTAAAATTTTGTCTGGGGCCAATCGTGACCAATGTGATATATTCTGCATGTTCAAAACCACAAATACCTAAGAAGAAGAAATGCACAGATTTTATCATTATTGTTTATTGCAAAATTAAAAAATACCGCACCACTGACGGCTTCCAGTGGTACAGTCAGTGATTAGACTTCCGTTCCTCCACTTTCTCAATTCAATCATCCCACTGATTTTACGCTACATACTGTTGTCTCTTTTCATCACAGTGTAAACAGAACTTGTTAGAAAAAGACGGATGAGTGCTCGGGTTAATTTCGTGTAAATTTATATGCATAAGGTACTCGATACATAAATGTTATTAGCATCACCAACCCATTGCTTACATTTGATTGAGTTTAAGAAATACTACTCGAAAGCTAATGTCATGCGTCTCTCGTTTAGTTCCAAATGCGCCCACGGATCCTTGTTGGTTTTAATTTCTTGATCGTAAAGACTTTACAGTCAAATAGTTTAGAAACTATAACATAAATACATCTTTATGAACTACAATATAATATGGTTGACTAAATATTTGTATAAATCCATTTTTATTTTTAAAGAAAGACAATCTCTTTCCTTTTTCTTTAAACAAAATGTGAAATTCATAATGTCAAAATTCTATTAAGGAAATAGACTATGTTACTTTTACTCAGATAATATATAAAAGAAAATATTACCTGTTAACACACAATATCTTTAATTTTTAACAAAAGGGGACTTTCTCTATAACAAGAAAATAATTTACATTACACTAAATAGGTAAGAAAAATCTTTCAAGTTAGAACACTTTATTTAATAAAAAAAATAACACAGTCTATTTCCAAACACTAACTTAATCACTCAGTTGCCCCCCAATGCGTGCCCTCTGCCCCAATTGTGTCCGCCAATGATTCTGGATGCTGGCCTAGTGGGCACTCTCTCTTGTGGTGCAGTACCAAAGCCCCCCATATACCGTGTATCAGGGAAAATCTGTTTTCTGTAAGAACAAAAAACAGTATTTTGAATAATAGAACCTTTGACAGTTGAATGTAATGTATTTTAATATGAACCTATAAGTAATAAGTAATGTAAATGAAAAAAAAAAAAGTTAGTATATAAACGATGATATGCTGCTTTTGTCCTTAAAAGCCTGTTGCTCTTTTTAATTAAAAGGTTCCAAATTTTGTTTTAACAATAGTAGAATAGCTGAGAGTCAGGATGCTCAGTTTTAACAACTTTAGATATTTATCAGTGTGTTTGAAATCGGCTTACTTGCAGCATTACAAAGTTACAATATTACTGCATGAACAATAATGTGATATAAATCTTTACAGTAACGAAGGTGATATGTATTACTTTAAAATAAATATAACCTAATTAAATTTGTATTAGATACATTGACGTTATAAACAATGTTTATCATACATATATTTTGTACTCTGGGCATACTAGAGAATAATAAAGTTATTGTTTCCTAATCACAGAGATAGTACTAAGTAGCTATACTTACAAAAATGCAGGTGGTGTTAACAGCGAGGGTCCACCCAATTCCTGTGGGTATTTGAATAATAAGAAGAATGCCAGATGTCCGACAAGGATTCCCATTATGTCCAGAATACCACTGAAATACAAAAATTATCCATAAAGTGATTTTGAACAATTATTATTTAACACTGTTTTTATTCTTATTTATTAATAGTACAAAATTGACAGGAAAATTAATATAATAGAGCAGAAAAGTAACACTTCTGTAAGAGTATTGACACAAGCTCTTATAGTTACTGTAACACTAGAAAATATGATAAACAACTTATTATAAGTTTCCTGTATCATGTACTACAATAATAGGTAGATATATAAAAGAAAGAATATTTTTTTTCGATAAATCAGTGTATTTAGATTGATTTAGTTAGTATGTATATGGGGCAATCCCCATTTATGTATATGGGTATTAACTTGATAAGAGCTATTCTTTAGAATTTCTTAGGGACTATTTATTTTAAAGCCCCATATGGTAGTAAAAGAACCCCGAGTATTTTGTGTGTTACTTACCCTCCACTAATAATTAAATTAAAAGCCAGCAAAACCCAGGGCAAATACATGGCCTTGAACCGTGTCCCAAACCAAAAAGACACAATCACATCCTTGTTGAGTTGACACCAAACATATAGGACTGATAACACCATTGGGTCCATAATTATCTGGAATTAAAATAAATAAATATTACATTTTCCATTGAACTTTATTGTTTAACCTAAGGGCAAGTAAATACAATATAAAAAAATTCTTTAATAGCTCTACAGGGCTTGTACAAAGATTAGATTTAATTAGACAGTAATTAAAAGACACTAGTTGTTAATGGACTTTAGATAATAAGGCTGATAAAGACATAATATTTCATCTAATGTAAGCCTCATCTGGTAATTTCTATCAGCGATATTAGACAATACTTACATTAAAATTATATTTTTATAATACAAACTGTACAATGTTCATAGCGTAGCACTCTAAAGTTTTACTTAAGCAAAGTATTATTGTAGTATCATTAAATTGTATGAAGTGTGTGTAAAATATATTGTAGCAAAAAGTTCATTGTTTCATATTGCATATGAGCAGTTCATGGCTATTAATAATAAATTCACATATTATATGCATGCCCCTTTTATTAAAATAATAAAGGAAAAAATTTTATGTAATGTATACTTACTGGCAATCCTGTAAAAAGGCCAAGTAGAACACAGCACAGCCAATTGAATAAAAGCATATAAAAGTAATCAGCTGGTTTCCCTGCAAACATCCCTGACTCTAGCCGCTGTGAATAACTGTACAAAAAGTAGCAGTTTATTAGAAAATGAAAACCTGTTGACGGGCTGATTGGATAATAGAACACTGCAGTGATTGGTCGCCATATCTAGAAGAAAAACATTATATTAAAACAATAGTCAACAGACACAAATCAGATTCATAGTGTGAATATATTATGTCAAAACTCTAAATTGAAGACAAGACCAATTACAGGAAATACTCAATTTATAGTTTATTACATTTCAAAGAATACTTTACCTGGAATTTATAAAATATCTGATTAATATCCAAAATAAAGTAATAATAATTGAAAATGCCGAATCTTCCTAATACGCTCAATATTATTGTCGCTGCAAGCCAATACCGCGTAAAAAAGGGAACACTATTAAACCAGTCCTTGAATTCGGACATTGTTGCAGCTGATTGTTACAAATATTTTTAAACCACTTTAAGCAGAAACACACGAAACCGTAGAAAGAGTGCGCGTGACACACTTGTAATAAAAGCGTTAAATTGTGAAACTGAAATATATTTTAAGTACACGTGTCCTATAGGAATTTGTTTAGACTTAAAAAAAAAGGAACAAATTTGTCTTTCATATCCATTTACAAATGACACAAAATATAGATGATGATAAGTCACAATCCTCCATGACACATTGCAATATTGACTATTGAGTATTGACATGGGAAATTAAAAATTTTGACAGACATACCAAGACAGCTACAGATATATACCTTAAAATAAAAACTAAACTAGTTAATTAACTCCTCTTTTCACCACTGTGTATAAACGGCTTTGGATGCCTTAAATCCTGTGGATTTTTATTCGGTATCCAATACAAGTTTTATTTTCTTTTACATGCTTTCTTTTCATTTGATTCATATTCCGATTCGCTTGTGTGATGATGATTTCATGGTTTGTATTTCATGATTCCTTAATTATATTATTTAAAGTAATTTTCTTCAATTAGAATTTTTACCAGTGGTCTATGAAGTTTTCAAGAAATCTTTATTGTGTTTTTCCGATATCGACTCTCCGCACTTTTATTCACACCTTATTGTGCGTTTTCCAATTACAGAGCATTATGCGACTCAGTGCCGCACAATGCCGCATAATGCTGAAGCTTAATTGGAACGTGAATTAGTTTTCAAATGCAACCGCAGGGTACGCTAAGTCAGTGTTGAAAAAAAAATGTTCAATAGAGTTAGCAACCTCATTAATGTATAAATAATGTGGTAAACAATAATAATTGGTTGAAAACTTTTTACGCTTATTTTAAGTAATTTGAATTTTTTTACTGAAATAAGAGAAAACCTTTAAAGAATATAAGGTTTTAACAAGCTAAATTAACAGTAAAATATTTAGTTTCATGTAAGAAGTTTACATCATTTACGTTTTGAGTAAATTTTTTTAATGATTTCTAAAAAAATTATATACTTTTTCAAAACCATTGCAATGTTTACAAAAGTATAATCCTGTAAAATAAATTTGTTTACAGATCCGAATTTTAAAATAAAATTGTATTCATATTTTAAATGTGGAATATAAAAAAGTAATTATTTATACCTTCATCCATACTTATATTTTTTTTTTAGCAGTTTGAAATAACATTAATTATTTTCAAAATCTACGACGAAACGAAAGCCTTACAAATTTTTCAACAATAAATTACTAACGAAAATTTCGATAAATGCCAACTTAAAGAAAAACACTGGTCAATTTTCTGTCACTGTGTTGGTATTGATTGCGAGAAGCACACGAGAGCATTCGTTTTGAGAGTGCTCAATTGTGCGAAGCGTTGCTGTAGTTGGAACATTCAACGTTGAGCATTATGCCGCATAATGCGCTCTAGTGCTGTAATTGGAAAACGCACATTAACTCGATATAATCGTTGTCACACTGGCAACTCTTACACGTTGACAATATCAATAGACAGATAAAGTGTAAATACGTCCATAAGCAATTACATAGCAATTACAAGCGTATTTTTACAGATGCCTCTAAAATCTCTGTTGATGATTGTGTTGGAGTTGGTCTAATTCATTGGCAACATAAAATAATTCAAAAGATTAAACTTCCTCCTGAATCCTCGGTTTTTACTGGAGAGTGTTTTGCTCTTTTAAAAGCTTAAGAACTAGTTATTTTATTAAAATCTAAAAGAACAATCATATTTTCAGACTCAAAAAGTGCACTACAATCTCTTGAAAAATTTCCTTTCCAAATGAAACTTTGTTATCCTATTATTTGCGAAATACGTGATAAGCTTTTAATATGTTCTCAAAGAAATTACACCATGCGTTTTCCAATTACAGCACTAGAGCGCATTATGCGGCATAATGCTCAACGTTGAATGTTCCAACTACAGCAACGCTTCGCACAATTGAGCACTCTCAAAACGAATGCTCTCGCGTGCTTCTCGCAATCAATACCAACACAGTGACAGAAAATTGACCAGTGTTTTTCTTTAAGTTGGCATTTATCGAAATTTTCGTTAGTAAATATTATTTATTGTTGAAAAATTTTACAAATTTTTTGGCTTTCGTTTCGTCGTAGATTTTAAAAATAATTAAAGTTATTTCAAACTTAAAAAAATAAATATAAGTATGGATGAAGGTATAAATAGTTACCATTTTTATATTCCACATTTAAAATATGAATACAATTTTATTTTACAATTCGGATCCTAAACAAATTTATTTTACAGGATTATACTTTTGTAAACATTGCAATGGTTTTGAAAAAGTGTATAATTATTTTAGAAATCATTAAAAAAATTTACTCAAAACGTAAATGATGTAAACTTCTTACATGAAACTAAATATTTTACTGTTTATTTAGCTTGTTAAAACCTTATATTCTTTAAAGGTTTTCTCTTATTTCAGTGAAAAAATGTTAATGAAATAATTTGATTATTAAAATAAGCGTAAAAAGTTTTCAACCAATTATTATTGTTTACCACATTATTTATACATTAATGAAGTTGCTAACTCTATTCAGACCATTTTTTTGTCAACACTGACTTAGCGCACTCTGCTGATGCATTTGAAAACTAACTCACGTTCCAATTAAGCTTCAGCATTATGCGGCATTGTGCGGCACTGAGTCGCATAATGCTCTGTAATTGGAAAACGCACACCGTTATCTTTGCATGGATTCCAAGTCATAGTGGGATTAAAGGAAACGAGAAAGCCGATGAGCTTGCTAAAGAAGCTATAAAGGATGGAGACATAGTCCCATACATTAATTATTGTCATGAATTAGCTGCTCTTCTGAAAACCCATCTTTGGGAGTCATGGAATGATGTTTGGTTGAGAAGCAGCAAGTTCAAAGGCAAACATTATGCTGAAATTCAACCCAGGATCCCCAGTAGACCATGGTTCTTTGAGGTTAAAGTTCTAAAACTGTCACTTCTATCATTTCCAGAATGCGTTTAGGACATGTTTGTACACCTCATCATTTAGCAAGGCTTCGTATTGTTGATAGTAATATTTGTGAGTGTGGAGAAGATATTAGTGACCTTGACCATATTTTCTTTTCTTGTTCCCAATATGACCGTACCTCCTTTCTGAATTCCTTACAATCACTTCATGTTCCGTTTCCGACTAAAATCTTCTGCCTTTTGCTTTATCCTTTATTGTATTATCTTCTTTCAAAATCTATAATAATATTAAGATGTAATATGTTTATGTATATATTTTGTTTTTAACCAGCTTATCCCTTTATTTCCTTTTGATGTCTTTGTTTATTTTTTTTCGCGTGTAGTTTCCCAACCTTTTACTTGAAACTGGCATAAAGTTGAAGCTGTTGCCATAATATTAAAAAAAAAGTGTAAATACTAAATAGTGAAATGTCAATGTCTGGAATCTGGATAGGAATAAAAACAAAATTTAATTTAAAAAGTCTAGGCTAGCGTGCTTTACGGTCGTTTAAAATATAAATAAAAAAAACATAAAACCCCATTATTTATGTAACGTTGAAATTAGAATTTAAAATAGAAGCGGTGTCCTAAAACAAAAAATAAAATTTTAACTCATTTAAAATGAGACTTTTAATAAAGCATATAAAAACGCCAACTACTCTTAGTTTTCAACTATTTAATAATTTTGCCCGCAATTTTTCATCTAATGAAAAGGATGAACAGATAAAAACTGCTGCTGAAGAAGTACGAAAAAGTAAGTTATAATAATTAAATAAAATGGTAGGGCTAATAAACTATAGCGCTGATATACTGAATAATAGTTAATATTTAGTAGTAATTAGATATAAAATGATTTGAATAAACTCTATATTATACAATTACAGAATAAATCAAATCCAAGCAGAGTATATTTGTTTCACTTCGCAATTTAACATATAAAGCCACTATTCAAAATGGTTTATAATAGTATTGTAAACCATCTGCTTATGAATTTTGGTTATGAAGTAATTTTCATAGTTTTATGAAATGCTAATTATTATACATTTAATCTAGAACGTTATATCTTCCAGTGTTGCAATTTTTTTCTATTTTCACTCTTAAAAACTTTAAGTATTGTTTGTTTTTTAGTGTAAACATAATGTTGAATATTACAGATATAACTGTTGAAAAATATTCTGGCATCACAACTTTAAATATAGATCGTCAAACAACTAGAAACAGTCTTGATGTAGAAACTTTAAAAGAAATGACTCAAGCCATTGATGCTTTTGATAAAGATCCCGAAGCCAAAGTTCTAGTCTTTAATGGAGAAGGAGGAAGTTTCTGCTCAGGCTTTGATTTGGATGAGATTGGGGAAAAGGGATATAATGTTCTAACTGATGCTGCGGTGAGAACTATTTCTATTATTATAATAATATTAAATAGGTAAAATTATTATATTAGGTAGGTTAATATTATTATTTATTTAATCTGCTTTATTTTTATTTTGTAGCAAAGTCCAGGAGAGCTTTTTCCATTTCTTGACATGAAACCTAGGATTATTCTAATATTCTTACTGGTCATATCAATAAAGCTACTAATTTCAAATAGGTTTATTCAGTGGCCAGTGTTATTGTTAATAACTTAATTGGTATAAGCAGTAGGAATATGGATAATGTTGTAATATGAATGTTATTACATTTTTGGGAATTTTACATGGTCAGGAAATATGTATGTAACATAAACATATTCCATTACCATATAGTCATATGACTATTAAAGTGCTTATAGCACTTCCGCTCACTATAATTATGAAATATTTTCAGGCAAGGTTGCTTCGTCGCCCTCTATGTGATAAGCCAACAATAGCTGCTGTTCAAGGTTATGCGGTTGCCGAAGGTTTTGAATTGGCTTTGGCTTGTGATTTACGTATTATAGAAGAGACTGCAATAATGGGTTGTCTTGGAAGAAGATTTGGTATGACAAATTACAATAGTATGATACAAAATGC